AATCTTAATTCAAATCAGTCCTCTTTCCCTAAATCAACTTTCTTAATTCCCTCTCAAATCCGAATTCCAATCAGCCCTCTTTTCCTAGATTAACTTTCTAATTCCCTCCTAATTTTGAATTCAAATCAGTCCTCTTTCCCTAAATAAACCTTTCAAATTTTCTCCAAATTTTTATTTTCTATGCTAAGTAATTAAAGGTAGAATTAATCCCCTTTAAGGAACTGGAATGTAGTCTTCTTTGGTTTGAATTCAAATCAACCATCTTTCTCTAAATAATTCTCCCAAATCAACTCTCAGGTGCTGCCCCTAACCTCCAGAATTGTCCTCAAGTGCTCCCAACGTTCCACCTCTGACCTACTGTACACCAGGATATCATAAAAAAAAACCAGCACAAATCTCTTGAGATATGGTTGGATCACTCTGTTCATGAGGAACTGGAATGTAGTTGGGGCATTGGTGAGGCCAAAAGGCATCACCAGGAACTCATGATGTTCCTCATACATTCTGAAAGCAGTTTTTGGAACATCCTCCCCACCCATTTCATTTGGATCTGATGTTATCCATACTTCAGATCTATTTTTGTGAAGATAACTGCCCCACACAGTTCATCCAATAGCTTATATATCTCAGGGATGGGAAACTTTTCATGTATAGTCTCCTTATTCAAGGCTTGGTAGTCCACATAGAATCTCCAACTTCTGTCCTTCTTCTTAACCAGTAAGACTGGGTTGAAAAAAGGATTCATACTAGGCCTGATAATCCTTACCTCAAGCATCTCTCTAATCAATTTCTTAATTTCTAAATTTCATCCTTCTGAAATTGAGGGTAACGATATGGTCTGACACTGATGGGTGGCATCATCTCTCTTAGGGTGATGGCATGTTCCTTCTCCCTCGGTGGTGTCAATCATTAAGGTGGTTGAAATACTTCATGGAATTGTTGTATCAGCGGCTGAACTGAAGGAGGAACGTCTTCCTCCTCCTCCAATCTAATCTCCTCTAATCTCTGTAACTCCATCAGGAATCCTCCTACTTCCTATATGGCCTTTATCATGGTTGTGAGGGCCACTATAGCTTTGGATTACCACGCATCTCCCCTGATCACTACTCTTCTTCCCTCCCCCACTAGCTCCATCGTCAGTGCTCCCCAGTTGACCTTGGTATTTCCCAAGGTTTGCAGCCACTTCATCCTCAGGATGATATCCATGCTTCCTAAATCCAATTGGAGAAAACCCTCCCTCACCTAGGAACAATTATTAGGTCCGGACACCGGATGTAGCTCTACATCCGGAGGCCAATAAAATGTCGCCACGTGCTCTTACTCTTTACCGCGCGGCCCGACGACCCAACCCGGACCGGAACCCGGTATTGCTATGTTCGGGTATTATTATGTATTGCTTGACAATAACGATAAATACCGCTCTGTCAAGACCAATACCTAGCAATACCGAGCAATACTGAGCAATACCTCAATACCTAGCAATACTGAGCAATACCTCTGATGCCGCTGTTTGATTGTGGAGATCCAACATATTCTTCACCATGTCTCGTAGGTCAGAGAATTGGTCTTCCATGGAGGAAATTCTGCCCTCCACTGTTGCTTTGATTGGCTCATCTCCCCCTTAAGACGTTCTTCCAAAGCATCAACTTTCCTGGCCGCCCATGATACTCGGATCTTTGTTAGACTCAAAAATCTGAATTTCAACCCAAAAAATAACAAAAACAGAATGATTATAAAAAATTGCTGCAGGAATCAACCCAAATCAGCCCTCGAATACTTGCTCTGATATCAATTTGATAGGTAACACCTGTAGGAATCAAGGAAAACTTATCAATGATTGATTTCAGAGATTTGTCAACACAAATTTGAAAGAAATCCAAAGGAAATAGCACAAACAACATAGTAATTGATGAACAAACAAAGAACATAACAAGATTCAATTGATCCTCAATTCAAGAGGACCTATCTCTCCCAATTCTCTAGACGCTGCTAGAGCCCAAGCATCAAGACTAAAGAATAGAAATTACTTAATAATAAGATACCCCTAACCCTCTCCTCTCTATTTAAAGCATAGAAAAAATAACCCAAATTACTAAACAATCCCTCCTAAATCAAATCATGCCTAAAACAACCCTTCCACGTTAATTAGGTTGCGAGCAGCTCTTCAAGCTTGACTAGAGTTCGAACTCGAGTTAGGCCTGACTCGACTCTGTTGACCCTTATACATCAAATCACGTGCAAAAGGGGCTAAACAGGTGAAATAAGCAACGCGTGCGTTGATACGACACGTCACTTGATGGGCAAAATGACCTTTGACTGCCAAACGGATTGCGTCGTTGCAATCAGAACATCGAATTCGTCTAAGTCGAGACCGCTCGTTGTCAAATCAGACAAGACCGATCCAAATGGCACTGCATGTAAACGGTTATGACCGGGGCCCTCTGAACTGGGTGGTTTGCCGCCAAATGACATCACTAAATTGCGGTTATGGACAAAGCCCGTATGCTCCCCAATGACATTAAATACTTGAGATATGAATCAATATGATATAATCAATAGTACATAAAGCCTTCTATCAGTTAAGGTTGATTCAAATTTGTCCTCTTAGACAAACAACCACCCCAGTTCTATAAGGTACTCTTGGACGAAGCAACCCATGATTACCGACAAGGATCCTTCTGTCAGGTTGGGTCGACTACCCCCTCTAACTAAGTAGACCAGGGACCACGATGGCCCGGGATGATGGAACCATGGGATCTTAATCGGGTCCATCATCCATTCCCGCACCATCTACTTTAAGTGCAAGATGATGAAATTTCTAATTTTAAATATCAATTCTTCAAACACCCAAATTCATGTTGCTATTATATGCCAGATAACACATATATTTACATATATGATTGACGACTAGCCTTAATTGAAAGTTCTGTCTCGTTATCGGAAGGGATAATTAACTATAGGGGCTTTGTGCCTATAGGAAACCAAAACTCATATCATAAAGTCCTCGCCTTCAACATCTTCAGTTTTTTCGCAGAATTTTATTTGAGAAGAATTTAAATTGGTCCATTAGCTTCTCATATGTGAGTTATCGATGCAAAAGTTTAACCATAGCGTCATCTTTAGATACCGGCATCCTTGTTTCTATCCACCTCATTCCAAGTAGAAGTGAAACATTTTGGTATGAAGATGTCAAAACCGTCAATATATTATTGTTTACATGGAACTTGAACTTTTACTCCATTTGGTCAAAGTCCTCGAAACCTAATGTAGAAAAATACCATGCTGACTTTTAACAGGCTGAATATGTTCTTATGTGACGGTTTTCTGATTTTTAACAGGCCTTGGAGGCGCTTAATCAGCAGGAAGAGAATAAGAAGTTATGCTTGAGGAGGACACAAACAGGTCCCTGGTAGAAGTAACAGGGGTAAGTGAAAAACTAACATGGACAATCTCATTCTACCCTGTAAATTTCTACAAGTAAACGTGAATCCTTCTATAAATTAGGGATCAAGAGTGCAGTGTTGTAGATTAAGTTTGTTTGCCTTCGTCTTAATTTTGTCCTTTGTTGCTGCTGCTTCATTTCCTGATTTGAAGCTGTAGCAGTTCATCTGCTGCTTTAGTTCCCTATTATTTGAACTTGCAATAAGGTCAGGTTGGGGAAATGCATGAATTTTTCAATGTAGATCATCTTTGAGTACATCTGGATTTTTGTCCATCTCCATCAATTCTCTAGTGTATAAATTTGTTTATTGCTGTGATTGATGCATCAGTTTCTTACATGTTGTCGGGCTTTTGTATTTTCTGGATATGTGAGGATATTTGGATAGTGACAGATAAGATTAGAGAGAGTCACGTTAGATGGTTTGGTCATATAAAACAGAGGCCTTTCGATAATCATGTTAGAAGAATAGATGTGTTAGATTTGACCTATATTAACAAAGGTAGACCTAAAAAAACTCGGTTAAAAAATATTATAAATGACATATCTTAATTAGATTTAAATGAGAATTTGACTCTTAAAATGAAGAAAATGAATTCATGTAGCTGACCTCACGTAGTGTGATAAAATCTTGATGTTGTTGGACCCATAATTGTACATCATTCTTTTAGAATTGTTTATATAGACAAGTGAGTTTTGTTTTATAAAGCTTGATTGGGTGCTTAGCTGATTTGTGCCTTATAAAATATTTATGGGGGTGTTAGGTGTAAGGTAAATAAAATGTATATTTTTTTAAATTTTAGATATTTGATAGGCTTCATTTTAAAAGTAGTTTTATTCATGGATGAATTTTGAATTGTCCATTGATGACCATAGCCATCTGTTGCCCATTGCTATATATATATATAGGTTTAAATTTTTCAGTTAAAAAAATCAATACAAAATTATACTTACAACAGAATCAATAAATAATTCAAATTATTCGATTTAATTTAGAATGAGCCAAATTTTAACTTATAGAAATATTTTTCATTAAATCAAAGAATCGTTCCAAATAAACATATAAACATTGCAAATATTAATTTGTCTATCACTTATCTATTTATAATACAATCGGTTTTTTTTATTTAAATTTAAAAGTATTAGTATAATTTAATTTTTTTTATTTAATTAATTTTAGAACAAAATTAAACTAATATCCAAGTTTCAAAGAAAATGCAATATAATATAATTGGTATTTTAACCAAATCAAAACAATAAATCAAAACTTTTTTTTTTGGACGTTAAGGCTAATTAAGATAAACTAACACAAGCATCACCTACGCAAAATTTAGGCTTTGTTTGAGACAGTTTTTTTTATACTTCATAAAGCAGTTTTCTAGTAAAAAATTAAAATTTTTGCTCTCGAAAGCTGCTTTAAGAAGCAAGAAAAAACCATCTCAAACGAAACCCTAAGCCCGAACATCTTGGTTGATAGTCAGTCCCCAACCAACAAATAAAGATGAGCTACATCAATAGATCGAAACTCAATCAAAATCAGAATATTACAATTCAATGCTTCTAAAACTCCAAACTACAAAATTTAATTTATAAAACTGACTTAACTCTTTTGGACAAAGGGTTCTAAAAAGCTTAACAAAAGATCGAACTACTGAGTCCCAACTAGATCAAACTATAAGTTCTGGAAGGGCAAAATCATAACCCTTATATATTGTCTGAAGACTCAAGAAGGTATTAGCTTCTATGTCCTCATGTTTTTCTTCATACTTCACAGAATCACAGTAAGATAAATCTATTATCTTAACAGTCTAGTAACTCTGAATAGCTATATACAGACTAAAATGTTAGATATTTACAATAGCTTCACATAAACCTGCAAAGGTGAATCCGGGTTAGACCCAAACTCGACGATCAGGTTAGCCTTCAAATGCAAGAGAAAAATCCAGTGGGATTAATTTTAAAACTAATAAATTTGCTTTGAGAACAGCACAATATAAAAACCGATTCATTAGATATATATTACACTCATCTCAAAGTAAATTTAATGGCAATAAAACTCGTTCTGACCCGATTTTTCCTGAATCAATTTACCAGCTCCAGATTCCAGGCTTCTCTGTTCGACACAAAGTTATCATCTCTTCATATTTGGAAGGATAAACGAAGCCCCATAACTGCGTATAATTATACAAAAATGTATGAATATTATTTTTATAGTAAGAAAAGAATGAAAATATTTGAATTGGTTACCTCAACATGCTTCACTTTGAAGTCCTGAGAATGTGCAAGGCATGGATTGCCGAAGGTCTCTGATTGATAACTTGAACCATTCAACCTTCCAAATAAAGAAAAAGATAATTAAGATTAAAGCTTAGCTTGGGACAGCTTTCTTTTGGTTTCTTAAAGCAGTTTCTTAATACAAAAATTAAAAATTTTGTATTGAAAAACTGTTTTAAGAAGCAGGTAGAAAGTCGTCTCAAACGAAGCCTAATATTCAAGTATGAGCTTTCTATAAACAGCTTTTTGGCAATAGTGAAAATACAAAAAATATCTATATAAATGGGGGTTGAATTCAATGCATGAAGCTTCAGTCAACATAGGTTAGGAGGGAGGAGAATTTTTTGTGAGTAAAACTTGTGACCTAAAAAGGATACTTTGGAAACAAATTTAAGAAAAGAAGATGAAGCTCACAAGTCAACATCCAAGTACAGTGCAAAGTGACCGCCTCCACCCATAGCCAAGTAATCCGGAGAGCAGAGAGTGTAATAATGATTAGCACCTGAAATTTAGGCATTTAGATTTATTTTCCAGGAACTGAACAGATTTTTAGGAAGCTGGGATAAACAATGACTTCCTGGTAAATTGAAATGTTCAATTTTTGGAGGACAAAGTAATGCGTTTCATTTGAGGAATCAAAACATAATTTCATTTGATTGGAAAAAAACTACATAAAAAATTGGCAGACAAATGAAGCAATTTAGGAAAGAGCAACTCATTACATTTTAAATCTGAAGTAAACATGAAGAGAAGGATACTCTGACTACCTGTAGGGCGAAAGATGACAGGGCTGTCATAAATATTTGTGAAAACGAAGCTACTATTCGTCCCCTGCTTGAGTAACAAACAAACGAAAAAAAATGTGACTTCAGCGAGAAAAGGGAATGGAATTACGTCAAGTCTATGATTTATTATTCTGTGCGGAGTCCGGAGGGCGTTCGGAGACCAATAAAAATATGCCACGTCACCTCAAAAATGCACCGTGCTTGATACCGAGCGTGTAACCGGACAGGAGAACCGTCCGGTGTCCGCACAGAATAATAGCTCCAAGTCTACAGCTGATGGTCCGCGTTATTCTAATAATCAAATGAAAAAAGAACTTGATCTTTCCTTACAAGGTATGCAGAATAAATAAATGTAATGTGCCAGCCACCTGGTATTTTTTATTAGTTGGTCGTAATGGTGCTTCGGCTAAACCACCAAACACAGCTCCTTTCTCATCCCCAACAACCTAAGAAGAACCCACGAATAAAAAACAGCATCAACATTGATTAAGCTCATACGTGAGATGCAGATTCATTGTAAAAATAAAATAAAATTCCTTCAATAGAGCATCAATGAGTATGTGCGCATAATTAGGCGATAGTAATGAAATAGTATTAATAGCATATGGGCGAAGTATGCATTTGCACATGATGTCATAACATTCGAAATGCATTTTAATAAATCGATATGCAAATAACAGATCCCAATTCTATGCAGCGAAGACACAGATTTATGTGCTTCTATAAAATCAAAACGGTGTAATTTGAGGTCCTGCACCCATAAATTTATATTTGGGATGAAGAGATTCACATATTTATAAGCTTCTATACAAATAATAATGCAAACAAAATTAAAACAACGGTTATTACAATCAACAATAAGTAGAATCACCCCCCCCCTCCTCTCTCTCTCTCTCTCTCTCTCTCTCTAATAATATTAGAGCCCAACAAATATATATTCAGGATGGAGAGATTTAAAAAACCCAGGATTCGGGCAATTCTATTATTTAAAAAGATAGATGCGTTATCCCATCTATCTCAATTTGCTGCACTAACAAGCATTTGCTCATTGCATGTTGGCCACATTGGTGCGGGTTTGGCCACTGGTGGGGAGCCCTGAAACATCGATGACCCTTCATGAAGCATGCTGACAAGCAAGGTGCGCGCCACCTCCACAACCTCCTAACACCTCATAAGAAATATAATCTCATATAAACTTGCGCTACCTACAATACTCTCACATTTAACTTCGAATTTCATGTGGGCTCCGAAAATTCAGTCCTGGCCTCCCCGTTATTTTTCAGAGGAGTTTTAACGGATTAAGTTCCGGGGTAAATTTTGAAAAAGCAAATTGGATTTGTAGATAAGACACTACCCAGAGATTTCGCCCTCATTTTGCGAGGACTTTATGATCTGAGATGTTGGGCAGCAGTTTTCCTGGAGCTTTGGAAGGGATTTGGGAAGGAAAAATCAGCCAACAGCTATGGGGAATTTCGGCCAGCAAGGAGGGGAAGTGTTTGAATTAATTCCTTACTTAGGAGTAGTGGATTTGGAAGGAATTAAAGGGGTGGGGAAGATTAATCAAAAACTAACATTTAATTTCAGTTTTGATTAAATTAGGAGGGAATAGACTTGAATTTTGAATTTCAAGTCATAGGCATTAATGCCTTGAATGGGGGAATTAATGGAGGGGAGCCAAGAGGGGAGGAGGCCGGCGGTTTTGGAAGGGAGAGGGGAGTTTCAAAACCAATTCTGAAATAAATTTCAGAATTTGAAATTTTAGGAGAGAAAAATCATTTGAAATTAATTTCAATTTCAAATAAGGTGGGGCATTAAATGAGCAATCAATAGGGAGATTCCCTCAAGGGGGCCGGCGGCATGTTGAGAGGGGGAGATTAATGGGAAGAGGGGGGAGAGGGTTTCCAATTTGGAGTGATGATGTGGAAATAGAAATTAAAGACTCCAATTTAAATTAATTTGAAATTGGAATTTATCATGGAAACTTTCCTAAATTGGAATTCCAAATTCTGAAAGAATTTAAAATTTGAAATTCAAATTTCAAATTTGAAACTTGCGGAGAGATGGGTTGGACGGGTGTGGGAAAGTCGGCAGCAACGTGGCCGGTCGATGCCGTGGGAGTGGCCGGCGGCTGGCTTCCAAGGAGGTGGCGGCAAAGGCTAGGCTCGGTTTCAACCCAAGGATTTTGAATGGCTTTTCTTGTGGTGGAGGGCTTTATGATAAGACACTACCGTAAACCTTCCTCGTTTGATCCTTGATGTAACCCAACCAAAATAGGAAAATACATGGTCAAACCATCATGTGTTTAAACACAAGTAATAGCTCCTGCATACATATCTTTAATGATTTGAATATAAGTGTTATTAACTCCTTTCTTTTCAAGAACTCTCCATAGCACTTCTCTTAGAACTTTATCATATGCTTTTTCTAAATCAATAAATATCATATGTAGATCCTCCTTATTTTCTCTATATTTCTCCATCAAACTTCTTAATAAATGTATGGCTTCCATAGTCGACCTACCCGGCATGAATTCAAATTGATTTCTTTTTGAAAGATGTTATACAATAATATATTTCATGTGCTTTGGCATTTTTTGCCACCAATTCTAAATCAATCATTGCCATGAACATAGTTTAACCAGCCATTATATGTTTTTTGTAGTTTCAACAGACACTATAAAACTATAATTCTACCATCTTGCTGAAATTTAAAAATCTTCCTCTAGTTTCACTTTCAAAACCTAGGAAACAACAAGGAAAAAAGTAACCATAAACAATGCAGTCATTCAACCTAAAAGGAAAACCACTTTGCAATCCTTCAACCCCATTCAACAAGTTGTAATTTTTAAAACCTAGGTCATGGAACCTACCAAATGTAGAAGGAAACCTAAACCAAAACATCATTTTTGAACTTTTAATGTGGCACAATTTGCGTAACTCAGCTACCTTTTAATTCTTTTTTATTTTGTTTAAGTATTATGGGATAAGTAACACCATCATGCAGTTCTACGTGCTGGAAACTATGAAGGTGAATGCAATCTGTTAGATACAAAAAGGTAAAACAAATTATAAGTAAAAGCATCTTTACCAATAGACAGTAACCAGGGCAAAGCAAGCTTTTCCTATACATGGTTGATAGTGATATCCCGTGCCTCCAAGTACTACAACAGAACATGAAAACTTCAATATCATTTTATGCAGGGATAATCAGGTTAGAACTTGGTTTGTGAAGTACAGATGGCAAATCAATACATAATAGCAAAATTTGATATGCATACTCACCTATAAAGCAACACCCAATTCCTCCCTTGAGCCACTGCAGGCAGTGAAAAATAAAGAAAGCTTCTCAATTCTTCCGACATAAGTGATGATGGCTCAGAAATACCCGGTAATTTAAACTTTGGCCTCTTGTCATCTGAAATTTTTTTTAACTCTTGTCCAACAAGTTCTAAATCATTTGTTGGAGCATCATCAGCTTTTGGCTCTGAGATCTGTCTATATCCACCATACAGCGCTATTTTTTGAATGGCTTTTCCAACAGATTGTTTGCCTCTTGAAAGCAGACCTTTCTTCACACTATGATCCTTTATTACTGATTCCGAAACCGTTTCAATTTCTCCCTTCCCTGCTTGTTGCTCCTTTGATCCTTCAGCGACATGGCCATGAGGGTCTGTAGAAGAGAGAAATGAGACTAGGAAAGCTGTAAAAGATGAAGTGTCAGGTCCATCTGGCAGCTCAAAATCCTTTTCTGAATCCATCTTTGGACTTGTCATCCCTGGTTCATCCTGAATATCAATAAGCCAGATGTTTCCTATGAGTCACGAAAAGTCTCTCAGACTCAATTTTTTGCCTCAAATATCACAAATTCTCTCATACTTAATTTTTGTATTTGACAACATTCTTTGCATAATATGAGGAAAAAGAAATAAAGAAATCACTGACATCAAAATGTTCTATAGCAAAATTTGTCAGATCGGATTTGTAAATGCAGAGAATGTAAGGTAAATTGAAGTTGACCTGTAATAGTTGCAAAAACATGAAAAAAAAATAAAAATAAATAAAAACCCTTGACGCAAGACAACTCACTATGTATGCTTCCTTCTAAATCTCCTCACATACGAAAAAATTCTAAAGCTTAAAAATGGATATTCATGAAAAAGGAAATAAAGGTTTAAGATGACAAAAAAGGTTTTTCATAGCTTCAAAATTGGTTGAAAGCAAGTGTATAGTGACCCTATGCTTTGTCAGTTAAAAGTGAAAATTAACAGACTTTGGTGAACGTAATGATGGCTACAACAACATACACATTACTTCATAGGAAATGTTGCAAAGCGAGCAAAACCAAGGGATATTCATACATAGGAAGGATAAAAAGATCTTGAAAGAAGAAAATGTTTATTAGCTTGCATAATTGTATAGAATGACGGTACAACCAGCTACAAAAAACTGTCTTAAGAGGCAGTGATGGCTGTACCAGTCATTGTTGAAGAAATCAAGTTGTGAAACACTGAATCTAAGGAACTTCAAGAATAGAATTTCCTATTTTTGCTTTGTCTTCATACGAAAACCAAGCAAAACCAAAAGTGAGCGTTCACAACATGATTTCAAAGAAATACCATCCTTAGAAGGTACTGCTTCGTTGAAAAAGCAGGAGGCGTCATAACATGGATATGTATTTCAAGATTGAATTTCTCATCACCCTACCATTTCTTTATTCGAAGTTAATTAACAAAAAATAAAGCTACGTTTAGCATCCTATAATGACAAACTTGAAAAGTTTAAATAAATTTGACTGACATAAAACATTTTCATATTTATAATGCAACTAAAATAAACGAGTAAAGCTAAAACCGGTCTTAATCTCGACTCATTTATATCTAACAAGCCCAGTCTTTCATAAATGCATCGTCATTCACCAAATCCCCGCCCAGCATTTCTCAAAATCACAATCATACACGCCAATATGAACAGGTTATCACGACCCCAAATCAAAAACTCCAACCTAGAAATTGAGAACTTATCACAAAACCCCAACCTATTCCACCTCACAAACTAGAATTACCATGAACATATTCAGAGTCGACAAAGAGATTAAAAAAAAAGTCAAGAAGAAAATCCAGATGAAAAAGACGCACGATGATCAAATTTAATAATTAAATAAAAAATAATCATTGCAAGCAGCTCAATTTTGAAACGTTATAGAAACAGGAACCAATCTGAAATAAAATGTCTTCTGCAGGCAAAAATCAGCAATTAAGCAATATAAAACGGAGGAAAGGGCGATAGGAAATACTGACTGTTGGCTCTGAGGATCGGTCGGAGATTGGATTGAAGATAACGGTGGTGAAGTCGGAAACCAAGTGAGCCGCCTTCCTGCGCAGAGAAGATGGCAAGTAACCCATTGTGTTGATCCTCCCCTGCCAACAGAGAGGCGCTTCTACCGTCGTATAGATTGATCGAAGCTGATTTCTTCACCGTCCTTTGGTTTCCTTTGTGGCCTTCGGCCCTCCTTCCTCTTCATCGCCGAACTCATTTCCCTCTTATTTTTACCCGCGTGCCCTTTTTCCCCGTGCCCTTTTTTTTTTTTTTTTTTTTTGCATTGAGCAAAAAGAGAGGATTGATTCGGAAAATGAGATGATTATTCGACGCGATCACGACCGTCGAATCGTGTACCCTCTCGTGAATATTTGTACCGAATAAAATTGGGATTTTATATTAAATGAGTTTGAGATTAAATTTAACCTGACTTAGTTCGTAAGATTATTGAGCCATTTGATTAATTTTTAAATTATATTTAAAAATTAATTTAAATTAACATTATATATTATAATTAATTTTATATTAAAAATAAAAAGCCTTTAAAATTATTATTTTTAATTTAAATTTGAAAATTGAAGCTCAATA